CAAACAAAATTCATACGTAGATTGATCTGTAGACTCTCATACGCGGGTATAATATTGAAGTCACAGAAGGAGCTGGAGTCGCTAATAACGTAATTAATCAAACCAGAGCAGAAAATCGCTACGACGGATCTTTATCGAAGGCTTTTTCTACCATCACCAAGCGAAAACACGAACTTTTCTGTCCAGGACTGCTGGAGATGTTGTCGACAAATTCAGTAATCGTGAACACTCTTGCAAAAAACACGGAGCCAGTCGAGAAGTGGTTGAGGCAATGAAGTACGTGGATCCGCATTCCGTGGAAAGGAACTCCCCTCCAACGGTAACATGTTAGAAGAGGCGGCGGATATTGACACCGAAGACGACCCACCTGATGGCGGAAGTCGAACTATCTCATTTTCGTCAGCAGGGCGTGATTGGTTCCGCATCTCAGGAAGAAAATGGAAATGAGCAAATTCACAATTCGAAGGCGATTCCCGAGAGCGACGGAGTACGGGGTCGCTTAATTTTTTATCCATACATGATCAACAAACCAAGAAGTTTTGCATAGAGTGTTTGGACCGTCTTTACCAGATAGAGCGACGAGGGGACCATATGATGAGCGGACATATCAAGGACATCTTTTACGCGTTGGCGGTGATCCTGTGGACTGGCAGCTCTGAGACAGTCACGACAAATTGTGGTGTTTTCTAGCCCGTTTAATGGGGCCATAGTTCAGTCCTCGATTCTTTAATCTCTTGATGCAAGCCCTTCGAAGATTGTTCAAGATGAACGGTATTCGAATAACAATGTACGCCGATGACCTATTCCTGATAGCTTGAATATCTCCTACAGGGGCTAGTTCGCGAATTGGGACTGTGCTTCGCCAAGAGGAAGGGATGCCAAATTTTGACGCCATACCTAGAACATCTCAAAGTAGTTATCAACCTCCACGCGAGAGAAATTACGATGACCTTGACTTTTGGGGTCAAAGTTCCGTGTGAATTTTAATGAATTATTTACTATTCTGGTGAATCATATTCTGAACAACTATGCTAGTGATGAAATTAGTGGTGATACATATGGGTGTGATGCGTTTGCGGTTGTTTTGGCGGACATGGTTTGCTATGTAAACCCCCCATGGGCGCTGTTATTTCAGTTCATTTGTCATGTAGCGAACACCCAGGATGCATCGGTGGTGTTGTGTGTGCCATTCTGGCCAGATACTCGATGCATGTGTGAACTAGTACCTTTACTTCAGGTGCGCCCTTTTGTTATCTCCCATGCTTGTTTTGAATGGGGATACGGTAATTGGGCACCCTCCGTGGTCGCATATTTTGCTTGTGTATATCTAGAGTGGCATACAATATTTTTGGTATGCTCTAACTCAGTCGTTTAGACCATCAGAGGTGGGTCGCACAATTTCACATGAAAACGTACATGAATGATTACCGCACAACGTCATGTTTTGCATCGGTGGCGGTCTCGCACAATCTGATATCGGGGCTTGATGCTAGTGCAGCGGGGCGAGTGTTTGGAAGATGCAATCGTTCTTGAAAGTGAAATTGACGAAGCGTACGCCATCTACCAGCAA